CGATGTGCTACAAAAGTCTTTTGGGTCCATGCGCGGGCCGCTGCCACCAGTTATAGCGCGCTTGGGCATTATCAGAAGGCGTATGGACGAATAGAAAGTTTATTGGTACAAAATATCGGTGTGGGTATCTGGTATCGGGGTTAAAGAGTCATTGTTTAGATGGGGTTCTTATATACTTGGTCCAGGTTGACCTTGTTCGCCCACTGGCTCCGGCTTGGATTCTAGAAATAGAAAGACTATCTCGTGAGGGGATTGGCTAATCGGGCTTTGGCGCTCCATTTAAAACATAAATGCGCCTTGCAACCGGAAATCACGTGATGCCGCCCCCACGGCACGCCACTGGCTCTCGACCAACGGCTGGATGTCAAGATAGCGTCTCTCTGCCCGCACGCTACACGTGTCCTTCTCTGTTTGGCTGCCTATCTTCCCTGCATGCCATTGAAACGCAGGGAGACACAGGATTGGCTGACGCCAGGTGGTCCCATACGTCTGCGCCCTCAGACGTCGCCACACGACGCTGCGTAAAGTTTATTCAATTCAATATGTCACTTCGAATGAATCCAAATTGATTCAAAATGGATTTATATTTTGAGAAGGTCACTAATTGGAAGCGATGTTTAAAATAGTCCAATTTACAGTTTGTGGCGGGCTATATCCCATGTACGCACGTGACGCTCGCCATTCGCCCCACGCACGCTGGTCTGGCCTTTTCTGTGTCCTCCTCTCCCTTCCTGCACTCCGAGGACAACATCAACCCTCCTCGCGACCAGTCCTTTCCCCAACTCTAACTCCCCCTAACCTCTAGCCCTTTGAGTTTGCATGCGGTAGTATGAAATACATCCGGTTCTTCCAGCTACTCTTCTATCGTGTGCCTTTTAGCTAACCATGATGATGTGGCTCTATTAGAGCGACGAGCTAACAGTGATCTCCCTATTTGGGTCCCCGATCGATAAGCGCGTTACACCCAAAAGGTTTGTCCTTAAATATACATAAAATTTTGGTAACCACAATCATGCAGGGTTAACAATATAACATTTTTAAAGAAATCAAGTCACAATTTGTATTTAAAATACATGCACTTTCATAGCGAATGCGCATTTACTGAAGTTTGACAATGAGGTTTTTTTCTACACTCTAAATGTGTAGGACCTTTGTCGAAATTTTTTACACGAAAAATTAAAAATATTTGCTTGATTTGAATTTTTTTATATTTCTTGAATGAATATATAGCCGTCGCGCATAATTTAAGTCCAAGAAAATTGTTTAAAGGTGTCGCTGTGCTTTTGGTGTTTTTGAATTTCCTCCGGCTATCTTTACTGGGGCATGGCGCCTATGAGTGATTTGGACCGCCAGATAGCACTTCTTAGGGATTGTAAACTAATATCTGAGAGCGAAGTCAAAGCACTTTGTGCAAAAGCACGTGAAATTCTGATTGAAGAAAGTAATGTACAGTGTGTTGATTCTCCAGTTACCGTACGTGTATTCTTACTTTTTGATTCTCATAGGTATGTGGCGATATACACGGTCAATTTTTTGACCTAATTGAGTTATTTAAAGTCGGAGGGGATGTGCCTGACACAAATTACCTCTTTTTGGGTGATTTTGTTGACCGGGGCTACTATAGCGTCGAAACGTTCCTTTTGCTTCTTGCATTGAAGGTACTACTTAATTCAAGTGGCAATCATTTTATTCAGGTCAGATATCCGGACCGTATTACTCTTATAAGAGGTAATCACGAGAGTCGCCAGATAACAACTGTCTATGGTTTTTATGATGAATGCCTTCGTAAATATGGTTCTCCGTTAGTGTGGCGCCAATGTACCGAAATCTTCGATTACCTTTGTTTATCAGCAATAATTGATGACAGGGTAATCCAATTCTCTTATAGCAAACTAATCTTTGTTGTTGTAACTTATTACTCTGCACTCGCTTTTAGTCATTTTTATATATCTTGCAAAACCACGCATTCACAAGTCCAATTGTAACTTTTTTTGTATTTAAAAGCTATTTGGTTAAACATACGATTTAATTAACTTAAGATATTTTGCGTGCATGGTGGCCTGTCTCCTCACATTGAAAGACTTGATCAAATCAGAGCTATCGACCGAAAACAAGAAGTGCCACATGAAGGGCCGATGTGCGATCTTCTTTGGTCTGACCCTGAGGATTCGACTGGCTGGAGTGTAAGTCCCCGAGGCGCTGGATTTCTTTTTGGAGCTGACACCGTACAACAATTTAATCATGTAAGTTCTTTGTTTAGTTTCATTTATGGAGGCCATTAACTATTCTGTAAGCTTCAATTGCCTTGTCAAAATGTTAAAATTGCTCCTATTTATCAGTTTTTTTTCAACTTGCTAATATTGCTCCCAATTCCGAGATTATGCATTTTGTAAACAATATAGTTTAGCTGAGCACTAAAACTGCTAAAATTTTTCTAGGTGAACAAGCTTGATCTCATTTGTCGTGCCCACCAACTTGTGATGGAGGGACGGCGGTTCCACTTCAATGAAACTGTGCTGACTGTTTGGTCTGCCCCTAATTATTGTTACCGTTGTGGGAACGTTGCTGCTATTCTACGCCTTGACGAGTACCTCAATCGGGATTTCGCCTTCTTTGAAGCTGCACCTCAGGTAACAGCTTGGCCTGTCCATAAGTATCAGATGACCACAAGTAAACATAATCTTAACCGATTTTTCATTTATATAATGATCTAAAACGACCGAATTCCTTTTAAAGTATTTTACGTCTAAGTTTCTGTAGTTTGCTGTATTAAGCATAGAAGTCCAAAAAATTTTGGAATTTGGATTTTATCCATTAACGGAAATTATAATAAGAATGAGATCTGTCTGTTGTGAGCGTCAATATTCCGTGACATAAAACTCCCGAAATACGCTGCGTTTAATGCTGTTCATTATAGTTCTTTTGATGATGACGTTTTTCCATTGTCCTGCTAGCTCATAAGTTCATTTAAAAAACTGGTTATTTTCTCAAAATACATGACATTCCAAAAACTTTGCTATAAAGGCCGTTGTAGACTGATTACGTCGTACAAGATTAAGATGTGGTGCCGTTATGGGACGTTAAATTTTGCTTCTTTTCGTGTGACCTAGTATTTGACTCTTGAATTCAATAAACTCCTCACTTGTAAACCTTCTCACTTTGCTTGCGCATATAATTACAAATTTTATCTGCGAAGTGGGCATTGTATTGAAATGCCGCCATCTGTTTCGAACTCGACGCGGTCAAGTGTCCCTAAATTTCCGACATTTGGTTTGTTTGCGGCATTCCCAGACTCCCAAGTAGCTTGTAAATCGTTGATCGGAGCTCAGTCGAGCTGACGCGTGTGTGCCGCATTGAAATATTACGCTCCACCGCCTTCCTTGGTGCCGGTAGATTCTGAAATGTGGGGCTAGTGCACCGAGACTTTCTAGGCATGTCGTACACGTTTTGATGAGTCGCTGTCACTGCGTGTGGTCTGGCACCACGAGGATAAAGCGGAACCAGCCTGTTGGTTGGCGACTATTGCCTTGTCCTTTGGGCTGGCCCCGTTACCTTTGTCCACCGTAGGCCCTACTTAGTGCAATTAGTTGTGTAGTTCGATAACATCAACTCACAGGCCGACTTTCCCAGTCGTCTGTACTGGCTCACTGCCCTTTGACCAAACCCGTTTTCGAGTAGTGTTCCTACGTAGCGGTAGTGTTTTGTTTTCAGTTGCGCTGAAATGCTCGCTTTCGTCGCGCATAAATGAAGATTGGAAAACGGCAACGGGGTCCACTTAATTTCTATTGTTCATTCATGTTGCACCCGATTAGCGAGCTTTATGATCAGTCCAAGGTAAATGGAATGCTTCGAAAATGAAATGTTACTGGTATATTGTTGCCTCGATTTTGGTGCGTCGGTATCCTTTTTGATGGTAAAAGGGATAAAGTAACGGAACGTTTACTTTACTTGTGAAGTTGCTAGCCGCTTGGAAGCCGTTACCGACAGCGCACGGAAATAGCTGTTGGATGCTGTTTAGATATGGCAACACCTATCTGCCGGCGGTACATTTCTGTCGCTGTCTTGCAGTTAACCACGTCTGACCTTTGGCTCTTTCGCTTAATACTATCCTGAACATCTTAATTGCTTTTTTACCTATTTTTTTGCGCAAAAAGCGATACTTTTGTCGCATAATAACTTCACTTTCTTTATTTTGCAAAGTGCTCGAAATGGAAGGAATTTCTGTTACTTTCTGGGGGAAAATGGCATATCGCATTGGAATAAATTGCTTCTAGCGTTTTATTTAACTTCGATGTGTGCGTATTAATTGTTCGGAGTAATTTGGTTCTCCAGCTTAGCTGGTATTGGCTAAAAATTGAAAATCAACCTAATATTCGCTAGTGAACGTTTTTACTATGTCGACAAAACTTTTTTTTAACTATAACAGATGGATTGCAAACACTTTGTTAAGTTTTTGATTGGTTTTTTAGCCGAGGGATTTGATTCGTCCGATGAACCTGTGGACTATTCGGTGTTATCTAACGCTTTGGCCAAGACGTTGAAGCAGACTATTGATTTGGCTCAGGCTCGTGATTGTCCGGTTGTGATGGCATTCAAGAGGCGCTACCTACAAAAGCTCTGTCACAAAAGTGCACCCGTGAGCTGTGCGGGTGTAATCAATTTTTCTGGTGCCGAGGATATTGCGAAGAAGCTCATAGAGTCTTGGCGTCAAGCCATTGCCTCGAGATAGGTGTGACACTCAACTTTACTGTAAATATTTCAATTTATTGTGGTATGGTTTTTATTTCGTTTGCTTGATTTACAACGAACTTGTTTTAACACGGGCAATAAAGTCTATCGATGTTCGCGGTTCACGCTTCCATTGGTTACGTTTACGTGTGGTTAATTGCCTCCATGTACCCGCTCTTTATTGCTTTTAGTAAATGACAACGGACATTTGGTTTAGGTTTGCAATACCATATTTAATATCAAATAAAATTATTTACCTCTTCGTTAAACGAATACTAAACCTTGGAGTTGAGGTTTGTAGCGAAAATAACGTACCTACATCTGTTCTCAATTTTTAACCGCCGTTTTGGCTCACAATAAACAAAATGTGTTCAATCACTGGAATTTCACTTGATTATGACAGCTTTTTGATGACTGAGCACAATTCCTTGTATCCCGTGTTTCTTTCTCTTCTATTCGTCAAGCACGAAAAATACAAATGAGCAAAGAGGTTCGTGTAAATCAAACTGATTCAAATGGATACATGAGTTCGTTCACACATTTATCGTGTTAGCCTGTGTTCTTACTGCGGTGTAACATGGAAGGGTAAAATTCCATTTGGCTAATAAGTGATCTTTCACGAAATATCGTTAAGGGAACGCTTACGTAACAAGCCAAGGCCATCGATCGCCCTCAATAAAATCAATCCTGGAAGGGCTACACATTTGGCCTGGTCAATAAAAATGTGGTCAAATCGGCGATATTTATTGGCAACACCGATCCACTACGGCACTGCAGCTCGTGCCTACGAGTTATGCTAAGTTGGAATGTGTCGGTACTATTTGCGCTGAAAAAGTCGCTTTACACTAAAATGCAAATGGAGGAAAAATTCCGCTACATGGGAGCGGTGGTGCTGGTGTGTGACTGGAATAACGAGCATTTGCTACAAATATATTTTTTTGTAGGACAGGGATGTGTACAAAATGGAATAAGCTAATTTTTTTACCTAAATTGGTGCATTTGGTATCTATTTTAACGTGGTAACAATTTAGGATAGCACTTTCCTGTTATTTTCAAACATAATTTATCAGTAGTACCTCTAGTAATCAACAACATATTTGACTAACTAGCAAAATCTGTGGTAGAACAAACTGTTTGTTTGATTGCCTGTCAGGATGGATGTTGATTTACTAGGGTCTTCGTGTCTCTAGAGGACGAAAAGTGCATTTTTAGGGCACAAAATTGACTGCTATTTGGCATAACAGGCCTGTTCAATTTCATGTTATGATTGGCGGTGAGTAAACGACTATTTTATGAGCATAATGCCATTCTTACCTGAACAAATCTTGATTATGTGATGGAGAACGTGGTAAAAAATCAAATGGGCTCGATTTATTCACTCGTCATTTGTCATAAATTTACAACATAAATGGTCATTGAAGATAGTGATAAATAATAACACCAATAGTTCTTGACTATGTTTTATATTTTTCGATCGTTTTTTTATTTTAATAGCAAGTTACCAAGATGCTTTTAATTGAATTATTTACAAATTTAGCTGCATGCAAAATTATGGAAAAATAATTATTCATTATGTAAAAAAATGCCTTGTAATTTTATTTTGTTTGATTACTCTATTTTATATCAATGACAGCGGAACATGTTATAAAAGTGGGTTCTTCTGCTCGATTTATAAGTCGAAGTTTATTTTTTCGAATATTTTGTCTGTGATTTGACCGTTTAATAAATAAATTTTGTGTTTTGTGAAGTTTTCACATTGTTTGTCCCCTTTTTGTGCAATGTACGTAATTCGCTTTTCTTGTTGCCTCAATATTTTCTACCTTAACATCTTTATTAAATCGCGGTATCAACGTTGTTTTGTGACAAAACAATTGGGTTCTTTTTGCTAATACGTGATATTGTCTAGAGGCTGTCTTACACATTTCATGTCAAGGCTGAATCCCAGTTTTTGTGTCATTGTCGTTGCTTTTGCTCAGCTGCTTTATATTTATGTCCTCATTAAGTATAGGTCTTTTTATAGTAAATGTAATTTTAATTTACATGTTTATTTATTTGAGTCCGTCAATGCCTAACCCAAACTCAAATATGAATTTCTTCCAACGATTCTAATTGCTTATATTTCGTTTTCATCATGCCAATTTTATACTACGTTTTAAAATGTCAGAATAAATACTTTTTGGCACTTATATTTATTGTCATCTCTTAAGGTTATTTTGTAAGTGCGGCGACTTAGTGGAGGTCCTAGCCGGTTAAGTCTTAGAGGGAAATCGTGGCGGTGAGACGGATAGAAAGAGAAAACTAGTGAGCAAAGACAATAGTTTTTCGTGAGCATTAAGTAAAGGATGAGAGTGGAAGGAAATGCACAAATAGATTTTCGTTATTTAACCGTGATATTTCAATAAGCCTTGTCTGGGGAATAATGTTCTTAAGGGTCGTAATTTTTAGTGGCATTCAGTGCGAAAGTAGTACCCCAGAGCTTTTATTGTTCTTTTAGCAGCAATGTAATGAACAAACAGCAAAACAGCCATTCTATGTTGTTTTGGATTGGATAAACATCTAAAATTAGTGAAAGAGATAACAGGGTGGTTGTCTGATCCATGAGTGTTCTAGTCCAATATTTGAACTCGTCATTCTGTTCTTAAATGAAGTATCGAATTCATGTTCCATGGCTCTTATGTTGATTAATTGATCCCTCCTATTTTAGATCCTAAATTATTTGAAATTTTTTAAAATGAAATTGACTCCATTATCATAGTAGGCCCGATTTAAATATTATCGAACAAATATGGATGAAATATCTACGTCAAATTCACCTGGGACCTCAAATACTACGGAAGTCGAGAGTTCCACTGACACGGATAATCTGGCATCAAGTCCAAGGTGAGTCAATTTGGACCACATGGTACCCATATTTTCTACCTCAACAGTCTGCTGAAACTTTATCAGTCCCCTGATATTAAATATTTGGCCTAAACGTATTGTGTTAACAGTCCTTTAAAATAGTATTATTTCTTGACAATGTTCAAGGCTTGCGCTATGATTTCTAATTTCTCTAACATTTTTTCCCAAAAAATACTTCTACCTCCTACATACATTACTGAAACCAATAAACCGTTTTTACATTATTTGTATTCAATAAATGTCTAAGTCTGTCATCTCTTCCTTTCAACTTGGAAACTGCAGCCTTAATTGTGCCAACCTAAAATGTTATGTTGCTGCATATTTTGTATAGAATTGACACTGCTCCCCAAGGATGGTTTCAAGGTCACGCATTCATAAAGAAGAACCTCCATAAGCCTGCTACTTGCCATCACTGCTGTGATCTCCTCTGGGGCATACTTGGAACAACTGGAATGATTTGTGAAAGTGAGTATTGGCGATTTTCTACTAAATTCGCCAAACAACCTTCGGTTCCGTTCAAAAATTGCCGTCAAGTCATTTGTTTGCTTGTGGTCATCCCAAAAGCTTTGTATGTTTATGATAGACGGGTCTTATAATGTTAATTTCCATTACAAATTTGCTCACAATCTAGTTTTGTTAAAATAACTAAAAATAGATGTTTTTGTTTGGCACCAATTGAGTCAATATTTATTAACAATACTTAGCTAGTTAGGATTTTAAATAGCTTCATCGTGGTCTTTTTTACTGAGTTAAATTGTCCCCATCAAAGGCTGACTTTTTGAAGATATGTGTTTTATGCAGTGAGTTAGATGTATGGCTCGCCGATCTGCTTTTCTCGAAGACCAGTATTTTTTTACCTTTTTAGAAAGAATACTGCTCTAAAATATCCTAGTATTACCACCAAATGTCTCGTGCATTTTACCCAGAAAGTTATGAAATCCAAGCTTTTGGACTGTAGCCTCATTTGTTAAAACACTGAAGAACATAGTGGCTCGTAGATGTGGATTGTCTGTGCTTCGTAAAAGGCAACAGTATGAAAGTGGCACTAATTGTTGCTGCCCACCCTATATCACACATCGACCTTCTCCTTAATCGTCCTTCTCAAATTTGTGTTGATTCCTTAGAAAGTTGGCCTCCAGACTACCTTTCTTTTCGTATCACGTCACATTAGGAACACATAAAACCGGCTAATAGTGGCACTCTCCATGACGGAATTGTTCTCTTCACTGTTTTTTGAGGAATTAAAATCTTTATGGGATTATAACAGCCCACACGTTTAAAAGTATAAGACCAGCAATCAACAAAACACTTCCCATAATCCTAGACACAGTTGTGACGATGCGAATTTCATCAGCTTATTGTCAATACGAAAGTGCGTACACACACGGATTATTTTGCGGTCTATTCTAACAGCAAAAATGTTAGAATATAACAGGTTTCTCAGCAAACTACATGTTCTCCCATTAATTCAGGTTATTCATGAAGATTCTACTTTGTTCACATGTTATTCCGCCTTTCGGGATTCATTTTTCCGACATCCATGAGCTGCTAAAGTGTCGATCAACTGACAGTGCTCTGACCATCCCTGTATTAATTTCAATAGGTGTTAGTAGTTTCCTCCGATTCTTTACTCGCTTGGGTTTTGGGTGTTCTGCTGAAATCAGACAAGCCTGACATGGTATAGCACCTCATGATTGGGACAATGTCAAAACTCAGCCATGTATCCTAAGTCCAAAGAATGGTCAACTGCCTTTTTTATCAAATGTCCAATTCAGAGTGCTTCATTTATTATAGTTAATGTTAGGAAAAAGTAAGCCATACTCACACGTGTATTTGTTGTCCCCAAAAGTGCGACAAAACGGTGACCTGGCTATTTCACGAAGCTGTTGGGAACCTCACGTCTCTGAAAAGTAATACGTAACTAGCCTATTATATCATTGACGATTTCGAGGTTGAACCTTACTGGCTTAGGTACATTGTATTGTGTCGGTATGAACGTTTTAGATTAGCTAATCGGATATCTTCCAGAACTCTATGAGAAATGAATTCATCCCACTCTGCTGTAAAGTTAGCACGCTTCTTTAACGGTAGTCTCGTTTTTTTAATGTTCGGTGGTTGTTGCACTCGTATGTTTAATTTATGAAATGGAGAGGAATACCTTAGACTTGTTTGATGTTTCACATTCTGCCCCCGATACTCGAGCCAGGACACTACCGTTTCTACATTGTGACATGTTTCCTACCCGCACAACCCTAAATATAGAGCTGAAGTATGCAATGTACCAGCCTCCATCTAAGACTGGACGTTGTACGTTAGACAGGCAAATCAATTTCTTGACTTCGTCAAACCGGTACACGTGTTAGAAACGAAGCCGTTGTAGCAAAGCTGGTTCCGTATCGGCAATAGAGCTCTAGGCAAATTTTATCCTTTCACAGCTAGAGATCCGATGAAAAAAGTTACGTCTATGGTTTATTGGTGTGATTCTTGCAATCACGACCTTTTTAATGCGCACTACCTTTTTAAAAGAGTTACAAATATGATTGATTTTCTCCAGCTACAGCGATATCCATTTTCGCCCAAACCCGCGCCACTGAAGTTTTAACTTGTTTTATTTGCGTGGTTAACCTTTTAAGTAGAGTGTGCCTGTTATCTCGTAAGGCGAACATTTCTAGGCTTCCAATACTGGCACCCTGTTAAACGTTAAAATTCTGGTACTTTAATTGGTTCTAGGTGGTAATTGCGGCAATTGTTGCTGCTTTTGTATTTGTGATAATCCTTTGATCCCTTTGCCCGTCACAAATAACTGTGCACGCATTGTTCAAGTGTGCCCCTGTTTTGTTAGTGACCTCTAGTTGAGATAAGGTTTTTGGCTCTTAATCAGAAGGTGGCTATGCAGCAAAACTGACAGTCGGGATATTGATCGATACCCCAATCAGATTTTTGATTTTTTGCCTTGACGTGATGCTTTTGTAGTAGCTAGAGATTTACCACTACCTCACAACCCTCTAGTTAAGAGTCCGTAACAACCCGAGAATGGGATGAAGAGAGGCGACAGAGGACACGACCGTTTATTAGCGTCACGCCGGCCAGGTGTGTGTTAGTGTGTGGACGAGTGAACGGATGACAAGGGGCCTGTTAACAGTAACCAATGTAAAAGTGATGGGTCATTGACACCGTCAGATCAGTAAACAGGGTTCACTCAGGCGCGATCGCTGTTAATCCCCTACACTTCCTCTGTATGGAAGCCCATGAAATGTCTCGGAGGATTAAATGCCGATATCTCGACTATGATTCGAATGACTGTTCAAACGTCTTGAGTGTTTTTTTCACAAACGCTGTCGTTCAACCGTCGTCTTTCAGTTTAGATTAACTTAGTCGGTAAACTACTTTTCTACTTCTAATGCCACCACTGCTTCAAATAATATATTTCGACATTTGTTTTATCTCCCTAGTCTGCAATTTCCTCGCTCACGAGAAATGCATCCGTCAAGTCGTTTCGCCGTGCACCTGCTTAATCCCATTTTTAATCCAGGTCAGTTGTGTTTCATGTGCTTTCGATTACGCACACCACCCTAGCTGCTCCGCCATGTTAACTTCCATTTTGCCATGGCAAATTTAGTGAACTGCGTTGCATCATCGTACTTAAGAGCATGCCATGACGCCAGGGCACACTGCTTTGTAGGAAATGTACAATGCTCGCTAATCCCTGTTTGCGTTAATATAGTGAGAGAATAGATTAAAATACCTTGTCGAGATGATGGCTGCGCACATAAGCTAACTCGAACGCTTAAAATGGACCTTGGCGAGCAGCAACTGTGCAACCGAGTATTGCGCCGAGTGAAGAACGGCTTGTCATAGTCTCCTCTGCGACAATGTCTTGTCATTCTAATCGTCAAACACAAGCAGTAGCTCAGACTGCCCTACTAGAAACTCACCGCACTCGTTGAGCTTTTAACCGAGCCCCAACAGGCTTGAGAGAAATGGTTCAAACTTTCAGGTCGTCCTAGGCGCTTCCAGGAATAAGCCCAGACCTGAGGTTTTAAACAATAACCAAGACCACATTTTGGCCATTTTACTACCCTTTCTTCGGCCCTTTCGTTTTGGTCAATCGTAGGATCCCATGGCCCATTGCTGGGCCGAAGCTGGTCACTTTAAGCGGAAATTCTGCAACGTCTGCCGAAAACGGTTGGATGATTTGCTCTCCGTAAGATGCGAAAGTAAGCACTGTATTTTTGTGTACATTATATTTTCAGTTTTGTATTTACTATTTTTGGGTTTTATTTGACGAAAGCGATCTATGTTCAAATTAGTGCTGCTGTGTGCCTCTGAACATGCATGTCACTTCGAATTAACTCACCAGAATCTCATGTCTTGTAGAAGCCAAGTCACGCCGATCAACTTAAAAGTGGAAAACGATTAAGTTATTCAACTTGGCTGTTTAAATCATTTTCGAAATTTACAATTCTTCTTGAT